GAGCCGCTGGAGGGTCCCGGCCATCTCTGAGAGGCGTTGGGCGAGGCCCCCCTGGTTGGCGGCATATTTCGCGGTCCGCCCGCCCAGAGGCCCGCCTGCCGCCCGGCGCGGTCTAGACGGGAGACGGCGTCCCGAAGCATGCCGGGCCCTACCTCGCCTGCCAAGCGGAGGGCCTCGACCTCCCCGGCGGACGAGTCCAGCGCGCCCTGCAGCTTGGCGATGGTGTGTTCGGCGGCTGCGAGGCGGACGGCTAGGTCGCCGTCACCCGCGGCCGCCCCGCCGCTGCGCGCTCTCGCGTCCAGCTCCTTCGCCCGCGCCTCGAATTCAGCGGCCCGCTGATCCAGTGCGGCCCTCTCGGCGCGGGCGCCTTCCAGATTGAGGCGCGCCTGCTCCTCCCGCAGCTGCGCCGCGGCCTCGGCCTCCTCGAGAGCTCGCTCCCGCTCAGTGAGCTCGTCCTCGCGGAGGCGGAGTGCGGACTCCTCTTCGGCGCAGGCGGCCTCGTGCGCCGCCAGCGTTGCCTCCCGGATGGCGACGGCGGCCTCGCGACCCGCCAGTTCCCTCTCCTTCGTGTCTAGGGCGCGGGCGCGCTCCTCCAGCACCGTGGCGCGAGCCTCAAGGGCCTCTTCACGATGCCGGGACGCGTCGAGCTTCTTCTCTAGCTCCGCCCCCCGGCTCCCGTATTGGAGGCAGAGGTCGTCCCGTGCCGCGTTAAACACGGCGGTGGCAATGAGGGCAGTCTCCCGCTCCTCCTCCACGTCCCTGGCGATCTCCGCCAGGTCCCTACGACGGGCCTCAAGCTCTGAGGCGTGCCGGCGGTGTGCCTTGCGGCCCGCCTCCACCATGGCCTCCACCGAGCGTCGCCCCTCTTCGACACGCGCCCACGCTGCGTCGAGCTCCGCCCGCTCTGCCTGCAGGACCTCCATCTGGGCACTTAACCCGTCCAACACCGTGGTGTTCGCGGTGGCCAAGGCCTGCAGAAGGGGCTCCGCGCTCAGTGGGGCAGCGGAAGGCATGGGGGAGAGCCGCCTCGGTAAGGATGCCGCACGGCTCGGCCCGCCGATCGACGTGCCGGACTCGGGGACGTCCCCCGAAGCAGGCTCGTCCTGAGCGTCGCCCGAGGGGTCGGGCCCGAGCGGTGCGCCCGCGGCCTCGTCGTGGGTGGCCTCGGAAGTCGTCGTCGCCTCGGGCGGAGTCGGGTCGGGGGCTTGGCAGGCCGCCCGGCGTGCGCGCGCCGCCTCCGTCTCCCGGACGGACTCCTCGGCCCGGTGGAGTCTGGCCTCCTCCCAAGCGGCTTCCTCAGCCTGGCGAGCCCGGACAGCCTCCTGGGCAGCTTCCTCGGCTTCCCGGAGGCGGATTGCGGCTTCTCGCCGGTCAGCTTCCCGCCTCCGGGCCTCCGCGGTCGCCGTCTCCTCGGCCTCAGACCGGCCGGACTTGGAATGGCGGGAAGGGCGCGACGGGATCTCGCTAAGGCAGAAGAAAAACCAGAAGATGAAAAACGGGTGAGTGAAAACTTGCCTTGGGAGATGGGAGAATGAATACGGCCGCAGTGGGCGCAGGGACGAACCTGCGAGGAGGTCGGCTAAACGACCACCTTGGGGGGGAGATGAGGTTTCCCCGGCATGGTTCGGTCCCCCCCATCTTGCGGAGCCGCTTCTTTTTTCGCTCCCCCTCGGGCTGCGACGTCGGCACAGCACCCTCCGGGCGCCTGCTGCTGGCACGCACCGCCCCGCCCCCTCGGGGAGGAGATGGGGAGGGGGTATCCTCCTGTTTCCTCTTCCCCCGGGCGTCGGTAGGGCGGCTGCCCCCCGGGCCCCCGTCACGGGGCCCAGAAGCACGACCCCCTCCCGGGGTAGATTGTTCCCCCCTGCGGCTCCCGCCCGCGCCATCGTGGCCTCGGGGGGCCCGCTCCCCCGACGCCCCGACCTCCTGCATGATGGTCAGGATGTTGGCGCGCTCTGGATCGCAGCAGAGGGGAAGGACCCCTTGAGGGATGAGGGATGCCTCCACGGAGCTGAGATTCAGCACCCGTTGGACCACTATCCTGAAGTCCTCAGGGTCCCAGTCCCATTTGCGCCCCTGGTGGGTCCTCATGATGTCCTCGGGCCCGGTGTACTCCCAGGCGCCCCGGGCGTGCCGCTGGAGTGGCGCGATCCGGCGACGAAGGTAGTCGCCGAACACCATGGCCCCCGTGAGCCCCTGGGATCGCAAACCAGCCAGGCGGTCAAGAACGGCGTCGTAGCCGTCTCCCAGATCTACCGGCGTCCGCCAGCTGGAGGCCTGCGCCGGGGGCTGGCTCGGAAGTCGGAGGCGCGCTTCGTCGGCGAGAGGGGTGTAGAACCAGTCGCTCTTCCAGTCATCCCACTTCTTGCGAAGGACGCAGGGAATGTAGCGGTTCAGCACCGGCCCCCGCGGCTGGAAGTAGCAGCCACCGACTACCGATGGTGGCGACACCGGCTGTACGGTGAAGAACCACCAGAACAACCGGAGAGATGGGCGCACCCCGATGAACATCTCGCACAGGTGCGCGAAGATGGCCAACGTCATTACTGCGTTGGGGGTGAGGTGCGCCATCTAGAGATCATAAAGCTCCAGAACATCCATGAAGAAAGAAGAGAATGGCGGGACCAGCCCTGCCATTGCGAAGGAAAGGAAGAATACGGACCGCCCCGGGTAGTGTGGCGCCGGGCGTCCCTCACCCAGCGCAACCACCTCCCGGCCGGTGGCAGATTCCGGCATGAATCGGCGCGGCAGCCCGGCCTGCCTCTCGCTCACGATGCGAGAAGGCGGCAGCACGCTACCGTCGAGCGGTGCGGAGCCCCGTGCCATAACGCCGACGGAGGAGGGGTTTGAGAGCGAGTGAGTGCGGCGAGGGTAGGGCACAGGAAACGAGAAGTTAGAGCGCAAGCGGCGAAGGCAAGGGGAATAATGGCGAGAGGAAGGAAACGAATCTCTTCCTCGGCGTCTTTATACCCTTGCCAAACGCTATGCCCGGCTCCTCGCTTCCCGCGCCCACTATCTCGCCCCCTCGTTTCTCGCGCCCACTCCTCCACTAATCCCGCTCGCCTGTTTGCGGCGCACGAGGCGGATGTGCGGCCGTGGCAGTCGAGATGGGACATATCGTGCGCGCGTTAACTACGCTCGCCGACCGATGCACCATCATCACATCTCCAGGCGAAACGAACCGGCTCGTCCCAATTCGCGCGCTACTCAAGTAATGTAGCGGTCTTGAAGAAAGCCGCTCATTATTATCGGTCGGTTTTTCCCTTGCCGATGCGCGCGATTTGCGACCACTGGATTCCTGTCCGCCTGTAGAGACCGGCCCCACCTGTCACCAGGCCTGAGGAGTGGCGTCACGCCCGAGCGTTTTCCTCGAGGAGGGCGATCGCCCTGGCATAACGCCGGGGGCTACTGTCGGTGACATGGGACCGGGGATATCTTGACTAGAGGTTTGGGGCAGCCGCGGTCACCCACGTGGCCTGACCCCCTCGGGGGGGTCGGGCCCGAGGGTGATGAGGCCGCCCCTCCCTCTATCTCCCCGAGGGGTCGGGCCGCTCCCGTTTCGTCCCCGAGGGCTGGGGCGCCCCGACCCCCTGAGGGTTTGGCGCCACGTGTGTGGGTTAGGTGAGCACAGCGGCGCTCACCTAACCGCGTTTATTGCGGGTTGGACGAGCGCCCCACGCCGCATTTAATGCAGCGCAGCACACTCGTTCGGTCCGTGACAGGTCACAGTGTGTGACCGGTCACAGACCGGTCAGATCGCGGGTTAGGTGGCAACAGGCGGCCTTTCGCACGCCTCGCCCCGTCCCATCGGAATGATGAGAGCCTCTAGGCACTTGTCCCTAGACGGAGCCGGCGTGGGAACTCCTGGAGTTAGCACGTCGGTCCCGGCTAGATTCATACCAGGCTTCATCGCAACCATTACAAGGAAGTCATTTTATGAAGAAGGGCTGACGTGTGGCATGCTAAACTGACACGTGGTAGACAAGAATGACCGGTTCGTGACTGGTCTGACGCCGGTCACGTCATCAGCAAACAACCGTGCTTCCACGTTGCACCTGCTTCCGGCGGAGTGGAGGTTGGTATGACCCATCCCATCGGAGGGTCATTCGGACAGCAGCCATTGCAAATCTCCGCCCATTAATGAGGGAGGACAGGGTTATCCCGGTGTCAGGCGAAGGTACGAGCCAAGTTTTGGTCAAAGTAGGATGGGTCCCCACCCAAAAGAAGGGTAGGTAGAAATGGTGTATGTGGTATCCCCTTGAGATATAAAAGGAGGACCATGCCTACCAAGAGAGGGGACTGGAGAAAAGAGGAGTGAGAGGGTCTCTAGAGTTTGAACTCTCTTGCTCTCCAGCTCTTTGTAACTCCTTCATACACAGATCCACCAGAACACAGGAGTAGGGTATTACGCTTCTCAGCGGCCCGAACCTGTCTACATCGCCCGTGTCTTGCGCATTTGCTCTCTCGCGAACCATTCCACAGATCAAGGGCTTAGAACCTCACCCAGCGCCCCCGGCCGAACCGACAAAGGGGGGCCCGCGCGGTCTCCCGGTGAGGAGCCCCACGCTCCGTCACATAGTATTAGAATATATCTCCTACTCCCTCTGTTTCACAAATCTAGACATATATTCTAGATTCATTAGCATCTAAATGAAAATGTGCAATGTTAGAAAGGTGGAACGGAGGAAGTATATTTTTTAAAAAATATTTGTGTTGATTCGTAGTAATTTTGAGATAGAGATAGTACTATCCAGAATTATAGTACTTGGGATATGTTTCATCTAGCCAGACATCCAGCCAAAACTTCTTATATTTTGCGATGTAGGGAGTAACATTTTCAATACAAAACAAACATATTATCAAAATACATGTAATGTTAAATGTGATGAAACTAATTTAATGTTATAAATGTTTAATGTTATAAATGTTGATAATTATTTATGTTATAAATGTTGATAATTATTTATGTAAAGTTGATCAAAGCTAAAGGCTCAAACGACTTATAATATAAAACGGAGTAATTAGATCCAATTGGGCATTATTTCGTCTGCCATTCGTTAAAACCAATCTTCAAACGCAGCAAAACGATCACCTCTGATCATGGGCAACAACAATTATGAAAATACTACTCCCACAGATACAAAAATTTACAAATTGATTTGCCACTCTTACTACTAGCTGTCCGTTAATCGATCGATGCGTAATGTAAAATAAAAGGGAAAATTGCGTATTAATCTGTACATGGTGGCGTCCTGATTCAGCTTAGAAAGCTTTGGTGTTCTTGGCTTTTGCGGCGTCATCATGTGCCGGGTGCCTTGGGAGTGTGGCGATCGTTTGGGCCTGAGGGGGGGTAATCAGTCGTCTGCAGCGCCATCCTTCCAAACATCTCCACGATTGCATCGCTTGTGCTCACGTCATCCTACAAAGCATTTGCAGTGAAGCAATTAGGTTGTTGATAAATCTGCAGGAACCATGAGATGGAAATTTAGAGCATCATTAAGAGTATCCCAATAATTAATTCCTAAAACTATATTTTTTTATCTTCTAAAACTGAATATAGAAAGTGAGAAAACCTATCTCTCTAACAGAAAGTCTAAAATTAATGTTTTTTCCTCCCCTACACGTGCTCCTCCTTCATCTCTTTTTTTTCCCTCCCCTACGCGCGCTCCTCCGTGCGCGCGAGAGAGCGATTGGGAAAAAATAGCTTCCTTGAAGTTCTCCTTCATCACCTTTTTTTTTCTCCCGTGCACGAGAGAGAGAGAGAGCGATTGGGAAAAAAAATCACTCCCTTGAAACGGGGAACGGGATATCCGGAGCTGAGAACCTAGATTATCGGAAGACAGGTTAGAGATTTTGTTGGATGTGATTTTTGATTAAAATTTTCTAAATCTAAGGATAGGAAATAGAATAAGAAAGCTGTCGGTGGCTCTTACAACAGCTTAGCAGAATTCTCAGAAGTCTGAACATGGTTTGCAGCTTTCACTTAAGGGACGGTTTGATTCTTTGTTACCTTTTCTTGTCTGATTCACGATTTTGGATTTCTATTTGCACTCAAGTTTGAGGTGATCAAGAAAAACAATTCTTTCTAGAAATGTTATCTAAAATAACTTTTTAACTTCGTAAGTAGTCATTTCATCTGTATATACCCTCAAATAGTTATAAAAAAAATCATATTATCTATTAATTTCAGCTATCAAGAATAGATAATATGTAATATGATTTTTTTTCAAACATCCAGAAAAAGATCTCCTGACCAAAAGAACCATTCTCTTTTGAACAGCACAACGCTTTATGTTTTCTATTTCTGCAGAGATGCACTAAACGTCTTTGTTTTGTCTTCATATTCTGAATCGTGAGCCTTTCCAGGAAGCAATAGACGCATCCGGAACTATGCGTAGTAATCGAGCTTTACACGCATCAATACACAATTAGGGATTCAGATTTTTACAACTGAGGCAACACAAAATCACTCTGAATGAAACCGAGAACTTTTACCTCTGCTGAACCTGAAACACCAACACCCGGACGCGCCGGAGCCTCCACCACCATCATCGCCATCCTGTTACTTCCTGCACAAATCCCACAGCCAGAATCACCACAAGAAACTCTCCAAGAACACCCCCCCAAGAACTCTCCTTCTCAGGCAAAATTTTACTTGTGAAACGAGCTGCGTCAGAGGAGGCGACGAGGAGGAGACTGACGGCGAGCAAGATCACCAGCAAACTCCTCCCTGACGCCGATCTCGCCATGGCTTTTGTGTGTTCTCCTGCTTCCAACCACGCACAGAACCAGTATCTACCGATCTGTCTGTCTCAAGGTCGCAATGATATGGTCAGAATAAATAGTTGCGACTTGGAGCGAGGCCAGGTGCGTACAGTGAGGGATCCGAGCTCCGTGTTGCGTCTTTAATCATGGAGCACTGGAAGTCTGAAATCACACGGAAAAGAAAGTCTTTTTTTCCTTGACGCCCACACTAATGCAATTGGGTACCTACCTAACAATCTATGACATGAAACTTTATCTCAGATAAGAGGCCCAATGCCCAATTAAACCTAGCTACTTATGTAGTGATGATGTAGAGTAGCAGTAGATGATGGTGATATTGCTGCTCAGCATGGAAGGTTGGCATCCCAAGATCTCCGTATTTGCTGACGTGTTGGGCACAATTTCTTGTGACCATCCGTCACATTTGTACTGTTTTGTACTGCTGAATTTTTTCTTGTCAAGAATGACCAATGTAATTAAGGAATTATAGATAGTCAAAATTTTATTTCTTATGCATTTTTTTGGCCTCTTAGGTGGTTTCATCTTGCTCCTACTTTGTGCATGATGTAGAGTACTATGTCTTATAGCTGTTGGATCGAGTGCCTGACAGATATCGCTGAACTTCTTCTTTCTCTGGTCAGCTTCTGGATCGACAAAAGGTAAAAGCAGATTATGACAATCTACAGGCCAGAGAGAGTTGAGAAGAAATATGGTCAGCTATCGCTGGCTAAGTGCTCAAGAATCTCGACCATAACCTGTTTCTCTCTCAGCTAATTTGCCTAATTACACTTTCTTTGTGCGCAATCATAATTAGATTTCTTAGGTGATAACGGAATTCGGGCTGGTGGCCACTAGGATGGATGGGCCAGGTATATGCGAATTCTGGTCAACCGTGTTCATCATGCGGCCTGAGAAAGTTTATAGCAAGTTGACAAAAATCAGTGACCAGGCCACTTATAATTTTGCATATCTGGCTGTCGAGATCCCAATGAGCCACTCACAAACACCTCAAAAACATTTTAGCAGATGCAATTTCTGCAACACAGTTGAAGGAATCATCATTCTAATTTCCAGGTGTCAGCTACTCAGCTGGTGGTGAATTGCCCACTCTCCGAGCTAGATGGCAAGATCATCCATGGCCGGAGATCCGATCCTACGCTTGTGACGGCGATCCTACCTGGCTAAGCACTAGCGCTGCAGTGATGGCGTTGAGATTCCCAAGTGGATTAATTCCTTTCAAAAAAGAAGTGGATTAATTCGTGGATGAGGATAACCTCTCCAGGCCATTGCCAGCCACCCAGCTATACACCAAGTTATCACATTCGCAATTACACGAACATAGGGCCGTTCGAGGAGCTTTTGAAAGCTATAGCTTTTTTCAGAATTAGAAGTTTCCCAAGCTAATTAACTTCTCATTAGATTCTTAGAAACTATAGTTAAAAATTCATAAAATAAAATAGAAGATAGAAAATGGAATTTCAGTTTTTTTATATTCTCATAAGGTGTCTACCAATCAGTTGCTTCTCATAATTTTAAGCTCCCCAACCAGGTCCTATAGGTTCGGTGCTAGCTTAGCTGTTGATGAGAAAATGCGGCAAAATTTCTTGTACAGATCGGAGGCGCCTTGCCTTCTCGCCGTCCGGCGAGACGAGACGCGATCTCGTCGTTCTCCGGCGAGCTCGGAGTCTTCTCCGAGCGTCCGTGCTGGGGGAAGAAGATGGTGAAGACACCTTCGCAGTTTCAGGCCTTCGAGCTGCCGGCCCAACATAAATGAGCCGGACCGGAACGGTAGCGTGGCCTACTTGAGGCCCATACTGGTTAGGTCGGAACGGATACTGCGGCCTCCGTGCGGCCCAACCAATCTGGGCCGGAAAGGTGATGCGGCCTACGTGTGGCCCATACTATTTGGGTCGCCGAAATGGCTTGTTCGGAACAGTGATTGGGCTGATATGCGGCCCACGTTGATCGATTGGTGCAAGTCGTGACCGTAAAAGGCCCGAGTTGGTACGTGCTGTGCCGTGCAGGCCGTACTTGACCTGTCCTCGGGTTTCGTCGGAAGTTTCACAAAAGTCTTCGTGCAGATTAAGCAAAAGTCGCCGTCTCATCTCCTTCTTCCTCGAAGACTAACGGTGGAAAAGGTTTGAGAAAGCGAAGGCGATAAGTAGGATAGATTCATCGATAGCAACTGAAGTAGTAGGTGTGTGCTCTTATTTAAACACATGACGTTGTTAATCTCAATTTGAATAGTCATAAAAAAATAAAATATGCTAAAAAATTACATCTTTAGTACTGTAAAATACAAATGATATTTTCAAAAAAAATAAGATTAATAGTCAAATGTTTTATCCAAAAGTTTATCATGTTGTATATTTAAAAACGGAGGTAATAGTTACTTTTTTTTATAGGATGTAATAGTAACTTATATCAGGAAGGATGAGGGAAAACAAATGGTTAGCTGGGAAAGTGTATTATTACTAGTAATAATATTAGCTGTGGAAGTGTGAAAGTGTATTATTACCAGGTAATTAAACTGGTCAACAAAGACGAGCTAAGGCTGGGTCGATCGCAATACATGGTTGTATCCTCTTGTTTCCCTCTAGCTAGCTAGGGTCCAAATTCAAATATTTGCAGCAGTTGAAGCTCAATTAGCGAAGATTATAATTTCCACTTCTTTTCCACCAAAATCGTACGAATACTAATTTATGTAGTATGTTGATGTCGACCTTAATTAGCAGTCAAATCGCATATTAATCAACTTCAGGAATTTTGATGCAATAAAGAAATAAACTCTCAATTAAGTACTCCATCTTTTTACAAATAAAAACATTTCTATATTATTTAACAGAGATTAATGTAGATAATAAAAAACTTTGATGCTCTCCTCGTTACATTATTAATAATTAGGAAAAAAATCAACTCATAAAGGTAAAAATCTCATCCACGCCCGGTCCCTGTCCCGGGGGCGACGCGGGCGGCGAACAAGCCGCGTCGTCCCCGCCCTTCTCCTCCCCTCCCCAGCCTCGCCGCCACCCGAGCCGCCGCCGGCAAAGCCGGGCGGCTGCAAGGATGGCGGCGGCGGGACTCTCTCTCCCTCGCTCGCGGCCAAGACGGTCGGGACGTCGGCACGGCACGAGCTCAGGGCATGGCGTCGGCGCCGACCGGCGGCGTCCAGATCCGGTGCCGTGGTGCCCGGATCCGGTCCCCCAACGACGGGCGGCGGCGTCCTGGCAGCTCGGCGGCGAGGTTTGGCGGTGGGTTTGGGCGGCGGCGACCTGGCGTGACCTAGCGGCGACGACCTGACGGGAGACGCTGCCGGAGCTGCCTCCGGTAGCCGAGCACGGCGGCGCAGCCAGACGACGGATGCGGCGGTGGAGGTGCTGCGAGAGCCAGTGGTGACGCCAGCGATGCGGGAGGAGGCAACGACGCCTCTAGCTAGATCTGGCTAGCGGTGGCTGCTGCTGCCGACGGCGGCAGTGACGACGGCGGCGGCTGTGGCGTCATCGACTGCGGCGGCGGGCTGGCGAGGCAGCGGCCGTGGTGGTCGAGGCGTCGTGGAGGCGGTCGTGCGGCCTCGTAGGTGGCGAGGCCTGCCGTGCAGGCGTCGTGGAGGCCGGCAACGTGTGGCTATTGGAGGCCAGCGTCGTGCGGTAGCGGGAGGGCGTCATAGAGACCGACGACATGGAGCTCGCGGGCGGCGACAGCAGGTGCTGGTGGCTGCAGGCTGCGACAGCGGACGGCTTGCGGCGATGGCCGTGGCGACCGTGGACGTGGCTGCCGTGGCGGAGGAGGTGAGGATGGTGATGGAGAGGTGGCTGGGTGTTCGGCAGCAGCGGCTACGGTGGCGGTGACCACGGTCACCGGAGGCATGGTGGCTTCGGACAGCTAGCCGAGGGTGTGGCAGACGGTTGCATCTGGCCGGCGTGGCATCGTTTGGAGGAGGGGTCGGAGACCGGCTTAGCGCAGAGAGGCGCAGCCGATGGCAGCGGAGGCCGGCTCGGCGCGAGAGGCGCGGGCGGCGGAGCTGGAGGCCGGGTTGGCGCGAGAGGCGCGGCCGATGGAGGGAGGCCGGGTTGGCGCGAGAGGCGCGTCCGGTGGAGGAGGCCGGCTTGGCGCAAGAGGCGCAGCTGGCGATGGAGGAGGTGACCTCGGTGTGAGGAGGAGCTGCCGGTGGGTGTAGCGCGGTCTTCGGCGCACGAAGGCTGGCCGGCGGGGGACGCCGGTGCAGGGGTTCCACATGTCGGCAGAGCTTGAGTGGTGGTGGAGCATCGGTGCGTCAGCCGTGGATTCGCAGATGGTGAGCGGCGGGTGAAAACCTAGCCTGGCCTTAGCCGGACCGACAGCGATGGTTAATTCCCCTTCCTGAGGGCGTTGTCGTGCTGTCTCACCCCTCAAGAGTGGTGTAGCGCCCGTTCCGTCGTGGCGCCTAACGGGAAAATTTAAATTCAAAAAAAACTAATTGCGAAATCTGTTTCTTTGCTTGTTGTCAGTCTCCGTGCCAATCCCTGATCTCGAATCCCCGATATATCGTCAAATTCAAATTCCTAATCCAAATCCTTCCCAAATCAAATTCCTCCGCAAAAGTCTATTTTGCCTCCTCCAGGTTTGGTGGGCCGATTTCCTCTCAGCCCATCTCTCTCTTTCTCCCTCCCTCAGCCCTCCTCTCCCTCGCCCCGCACGTGCGTCGCACGCGCGTGCGCGTGAGCCGACGCCAAGCCGAGCGCCATCTCTCTCTCTCCGCTCTCTCGTTCTCTCACTCTCCCACTCCCCTTCTCTCTCTCCCCGGCGAGCCCCGCCCCCGAGTTTTGAATCCCCCGCGCCGTTGCTTCCCGCGCGCGCGCGCCGTGGTGGCTGACCGGCCAGTCGCCGCCGCCGTCAGAGCCTACCGCCCTGTAGCCGCGCCCTTCCAAACCGCCCCCGCCGTCATCGCCGTCGTCACGACCCGGCCCCGCCACCACCGCGCATGCTCCCAAGGATTGGAGGCAGAGCTCCTCTTCCCACTGCCTCGTCGCCCTCTCTCTCCTTCCTTCTTTTCCCAAAGTGGCAAGAGGCAAGTCTCCTTTCCCCCTTCCTTTTCTTCCTTTTTCTCCCCGCCGGCGTCGTCCTCCCTGTCGCCGTTTTGGCCGCGAACGCCGAGCGCCAGCTCGCTCCTTGACCGCCCTAGGTCGGTTTCCAAACAGACATTGCCCTCCTATTAAACCAAGGCGCCCTCTCTTCCTTTCCCTCTCCCATTCTCCCTCGCTCCACCACGCCATTGCCATCCCCTCTGTCTCTCTATCGCCGACCGCCGCCGTCACGTGTGCCGGAGGAGCCGGTGCGCGCTAGGATGCGGAAGGGGACTCCGGGCGCTCGTCTTCTTCCTCTTCCCTGGCCCGAGGCCGGAGAGATCACTCCCGTGCCGTCGGCCTCTCGTCACAGCGCCCCGCCTTGTCTCGGTAGGGCATCTCCCCGTTCTCCCTCCTCGTTCCTCCTCTTCCCCTTAGTTTTCGGTAGAAGCTTGTATAGCCTCCCCGTAGCTAGCTGGCGCCGCCCCGACCGCTGCCGCCGCTCGCTGTGTGCTCCGTCGGAGTATGTGCAATGTATCACTCTTTGAATTGATTAAAGCTTGGCACCCGGCCAACAACTTTCAAACGGCCACCCGGGCCTGGCTGATCCCATCAGCCGCAGATTTTACAAACATCGATCCCATTCCACAACAGCAATTTCACAAAGCAGTAGTCAAACAAAAACTACGCTAGGAATCACCTCACATCCGCCCATGACCGCGGGCACGGCTGTTCGAACAGTTTAGTAACTTCTGCAGAGGGGGTACACTTTACCCACACGACATTATTATCCCGGATCACCCAGCCCGTGCAGAACGGCCACGTCTGGAGACCTTGAGGCTTTCATGACAAGGCATTTCGAAAGCCGACACAGGTTCACCATATGCCAACGAGAGGGGTCCCAGACCGACATCAGGTTAGGTCCCAGACCATACTGTGCCAGGAAGCCCGGGGGTTCTCCCCGGCACTACCCCGTTGAATCCACATGTCTCTTGGCATCATGGTTCCCCCGATAATCTAATTACTCAGCCAGGGGTGTCCCATTCCACCCATGTGGTCGCACTTGTCTTATGTTTGGATGAAATTCCAAGGAAACGGTCCTTAAGTGCAAGAGCGGGAAACCGTACTCCCGGTACGTCCTCCGGTCTGCGGTTTTGGAAATTCATTTAGTTTGCAAGCACCGACCCAGGTGTCGGGTTTTCCAAATCTTTTGTAAAACCCCAAGTTTTACCCATCATTGGATATTTTAAATTTGAAGGGAAGTGTTCCGATGCTCGAGCCCGAAGGCCCATGCATCGAAGCACAACAGTCGACAAAGGAGGTCTAAGTGTTCAATAATTCAAGGAGGGTAATTGCAGCAATTAGGATTGGGGCCGGCAGGCTATCTCGCAAGCCGCGGCCGAAATACTTGTGTTAAACCTATTCATGCAATATTTGCGAAAAAGAAATACTTAGATTTAAATTATAGGTGCAAGATGATCAAAGGTGACTTGCCTTGCTCGAGATCTTGAGCTTGATCCTCGAAATCCTCGCACTGCAGGTCTTCGGGCTCCGAAACTACACGCGAAACGGGACAACTCAACAAACGGCGAAAATAAAGCCCTATTATTGACCTCTAAACGTGCCTTTAAACAGATCTCGAGATTTGAGGAATTTTGGAAGTTGAACGGAGTCAAACGGACATACGGTTGAGAAGATATTGAATTTCTAAGATTATTGGATTTTTGGTCTAAAGGAAAAATGATTTAATTAAACCCTTTTGAAAAAGAGAAAAGAGGGAGGGGAAACAGACTTTCCTCGGGCAGCTAGGGCGCGGCCCGAGAGAAAGGGGCGGCTCGGCCGAGCTTAATGGGCCGACCGGCCCGAGAAGGCGGCCCAAGGCACGCGCGGGAGGGGAGGAGAGAGGGAGCCGGTGGGCCGGGCTCACCTCGCGTGGTCCCGAGTGGGACCCGCTTGTCGGTGACACAGTTCACCGTGCGGAGGGAGCACGCAGCGCGCACTAGGGTTTGGGGGAGGGACGCGGTGCACGCGCGCGACTCGCGGTGGGTGCGGTTGCGGCGGGCCCACGCGCAGCCTCACGGCTCGCGGTGGACCGCGTGCACGAGCGGGGCGGAGGGGAGCGGCGGACCGGGGTCAGCTTGACCCGGTCACGGCCGAGGTGGCGCCGACGTGGCGCCTACGTGGCTGCCACGCGGGTCGGCGGGAGGAAGACGACGACGTTGGCCGGAACGGACGGCGGATGGCGGCGGCGATCGGCGGGGCGATCTACAGCGATGCAGGCAAGGGCGAGCGCACCGGGAGGTTGCACGGGACGAGGGGAGACGAGCCAACGGCTCGGATTCGCCGGAGGGGGCTCGACGGCGGTGGATTGTGGCGGCGGCAACCGGCGGCGAGGGAAGGGGGAAACAGCGACGGCGCGACGGGAGATCGATTCGGGCGAGCTAGAGCATCTACGCGACTCCGGGAATCCGTTTCTAGCGTCGGATTGGACGAAGACACTACGAGAGAGGCCAGCAACGTGCGGGTGCTACGGAGCACGGGCGGTGACGGCGGCGAGCACACAGCGAGCGGCGGCAGCGGTCGGGGCGGCGCCAGCTAGCTACGGGGAGGCTATACAAGCTTCTACCGAAAACTAAGGGGAAGAGGAGGAACGAGGAGGGAGAACGGGGAGATGCCCTACCGAGACGAAACGGGGTGCTGTGACGAGAGGCCGACAGCACGGGAGTGATCTCTCCGGCCTCGGGCCGGGGAAGAGGAAGAAGACGAGCGCCCGGAGTCCCCTTCCGCGTCCTAGCGCGCACCGGCTCCTCCGGCACACGTGATGGCGGCGGTCGGCGATAGAGATCAGGGATTTGGATTCGCAATTTGAATTTGACGATAGATCGGGGATTCGAGATCAGGGATTGGCACGGAGACTGACAACAAGCAAAGAAACAGATTTCGCAATTAGTTTTTTTTGAATTTAAATTTTCCCGCTAGGCGCCACGACGGAACGGGCGCTACAGACCAACCCCATAACAAGAATCTCGACCCCGAGATTCAGCACATAAGGGAGCAGCTCCGGAAACTCGGCGCGGAGATGATCTTCTCGTTCCCAGGTTGCTTCATCTTCGGAATGGTTGCTCCACTGAACCTTGTAGAACTTGATGGTCTTTGGTCGAGTCTGACGTTCTGCCTCTTCAAGAACTCTGATCGGTCTTTCTTTGTAGGTCAGATTCTTTTCCAGCTCGATATTGCCTAGGGGAACTTGTTCTTCTGGAACACGAAGATATTTCTTCAACTGAGACACGTGAAACACATTGTGCACATCTGCGAGACCTTCAGGTAACTCAAGCTGATAAGCTACTTCGCCACGTCTGGCGGTTATGAGGTAGGGGCCGATGTAGTGGGGTGCTAACTTGCCGGACATCCCAAACCTCCTCATACCGCGGAGAGGTGATACCCGTAGGTACACATGATCTCCTTTCTCGAACTCAAGATCACGCCTCCGATTGTCAGCATAATTCTTCTGTCGGTTCGGAGCTGTCTTCAAGCGTTCTCGGATCAATTTAACTTGTTCTTCTGCTGCCTTGAGTACATCAGGACCGAACACCAGTGCTTCGCCAACCTCATTCAGCACAAGGGAGTGCGGCACTTTCTTCCGAACATTGCCTCATTCGGCGACATCTGAATGCTGGCCTGATAACTGTTGTTGTATGAGAACTCAGCATACGGCAAACAACGATCCCAAGTGCCTTCGAAATCCAGGGCACACGCACGAAGCATGTCTTCTAGAGTCTGATTTACTCTTTCTGTCTGACCATCGGTCTACGGATGGTAAGCTGTACTGAAATTTAAATCGGTTCCGAGAGCTTCATGCAACTACTTCCAGAACCTTGAGGTGAACTGAGTGCCTCGATCTGACACAATCTTCTTGGGACAACCAAATCTACATACGACATGGGTCATGTAGAGTCCTGCCAATTTCTTTCCATCAAAGGTAGTTTTCACTGGCACGAAATGAGCTGATTTCGTGAGTCGATCCACGATTACCCAGATGGAGTCATACCCGCTAGGGGTTCTTGGCAAACCGGTGATGAAATCCATTCCGATCTCTTCCCATTTCCACTCGGGAATCGGTAGGGGTTGCAGCAGACCAGCTGGCCTCTGATGCTCTGCTTTGACTCTCTGGCAAATGTCACAAAGGGCCACATATTCCGCGACATCTCGCTTCATTCCAGCCCACCAGAAATATGCCTTGATATCCTGGTACATCTTCGTACTTCCCGGATGGATGGAGTAGGCGGACTCATGAGCTTCCTTTAAAATGAGGTCCCTTAACTCCTTCTTGGCCGGTATATAGATGCGTGGACCGCACCAAACTGTGCCTTGATCGTCTATGGAGAAATCGGTGTACTTCTTCTCCTGTATTCTTTTTATTAACTCTTTTATCCCTTCATCATCTTTCTGGCCATATTTGAGCTGCATTGCAATAGGTCTTGCGACTTAGTGCATTAGCGACCACATTAGCTTTACCGGGA